CGGGGTCAGTGTGTAAGAACTAATCAGCTTACTCCTATATGTATCTAAGTTGCAACTCTTATTGTAGTCTTTCATAAACTTGAGGTGGAATTGTAATCAACACGCAGCTGTGCAACTCATGTTGTAGCGCACATTATAAACAATTCATTAGTCGTTGTTATTCCACTTTTGCCAAATATTAGTATTGAGGCGAAACATATTTCATGCACTGGCTAATTTTTAGATTTTTTTTCAGACTAGTGGAAAGAAAACATCCAAAATACGCATTTCAGAGTTTATTTTACTACTTTGTCTATTTGCGTCTGTAGATTAGTCCTAAATTGACCAATAGTTACCATAAAGTAATGCCTCATTAACATATTCCCCAAAGCAATTTTCTCTAAATTAGTTTTTTCTCAGACTCTGAGCAACACATCTCTACTTCAATAGCTCTTACATACACTGTACAGTTTCATTCCTCTCTATACTCTAATGGTTTATACGAAGGGGTTTGTATTATTCAAAGCCTGATTTATACAACAATTTAGTACTAAAAACATGGAGAAAATGGATTGTTATTCATGGCTGTTGACAATATTTTCAGATGTATGGAGTGATACAAAGACATATCCAAAAGTCCCTCTGTAAATACCTTTGACTCTAATATGTCCACAAAATGAACCGTGCATTTTGAGCCTAACTTTGAGCCTCTGGAAATATATGAAAATCAGTGCAAATTGAATACGATAATGTATATATATTGTATATTTTCAGAAAACTTGTAATACAAAAAAAGTGTCCTGTATCATCTTGTGTCTGTCTTGTAGAAAAGGCCCCAAATCAAAGTCAACAAGTCCTTCAACTCAAACGACGACATTGTTTGTAACTGCTTAACGACACTTTTAGTGATCTGATTGTCCTACCAACTATGACCCATTTGTTTGTTCCATCCATAACCGTTGTCTTATGACAACACTGTGGTTAATGTTTGGTTATGTTTAGGTACAGAAACAACTGTTGGCTTTTGGGAAGATCATGATTTGGTTTAAAATAAGTTCTGTGGAGGTTAGGGCAACGTTGTGGATGGGTTAAAATGGTTACTTTGTCACTTTGTTGTCCTGTAATAATGTCATCTGACTTTCTCCTTTGCTCCTTTGCTCCTTTGCCCGATGGACAAAAGTAATCATTACCACGCATGGCCTCAGGGAGAACGAGAGGCGAACTAGAGAGAACTTAGCCCCTTCAACGTAAACATACAGTAAGTGGTTTTGGGGCTTCTGCTAACAACTGATTCTGTCTTTTGTTTTAGGGCGATCTCATCACAATCTAGTTTACATTGTGCTCACATGGTGCATATTTCTACATGAAGTTGTGTTTATCATAATTATCACAAAGTAGCAGAAACTATCATTCCAGCAAAAGAGCACTGGTTACTGGGCTTACTGGAAAAAGTAAGGTTGGAGGGTGGGAGGGTTCAGTAGGGGCAGGTTGACCCCTCTGTGTTTAGATCAGTGGTTCCATTAAGCAACATCTCACATTAAATGATTACTGCCTCTGCTCTCTTCTCCTGTAGAAGCTCCGTCTTTTTATACATCAAGAAGTGTTGAATTGTTTGGGGATCCTTTTGATCTTTTTACCTGGCATTTTATCTTTGCCTGAAAATGATAATAATAACAATAACATAATCAAATTTGGCCCTTTATGCTATCATATAGCCAGTTCCACTAAAGTTTCAACAATTGTATTTATGCACCACTACTATCCCTCCAATGCCGGGAACACTTTCCGTTGTGTATTGGTTTCCTGGTTTAGAGAAACACTGCCTCCTAAAATTTATGTTCCAACTAATCTGCATTCTCAAATACGGAAATAGGGAAGTTTTTTCTCTCTTGGTTCACGGTTGCAGTTTGAAACAGTGTGAAACGCGTGGCTAACATTGTAAATTGAAACAAAACAAAACAAAAAGCTCTACAAAACTACTTGGTTATGTTTGGGCAACACAAGTACTTAGTTCACACTCCAACGGCAGTCAAAGCACCAGCTCGACCTCCACAGACTACTACAGACTCATTTGAAAACTGATTTGTGATACGTCAACAGCAAATGTAAACCAAGACCAAATATGTTTGCCTTAAAATGTAACGCACATTGAAGTTTCATTATATGGGAATGTACATTTTTAGGTGACAGGGCTGTTAAGGGACGGAGAGCACCTATCAATCATCTGATGCAGGGATTCCCAAAGTGTGGTGCGCGCACCCCTGGGGGTGCGCGAGCTGCCTCTAGGGGGTGCGCGAGAGGAAAAATGTAATGGTGGTCTAATGGTGCAGTCCTGTCTCCTAAAAATTACGTTCCCCCAAAACTAAAATGCATTCTCTATTACGTTTGACCATAAACGTATTTTATCCCTGATTACGTTTGTTTTTGACGTATTACAAATACGTTTCTCATCAACATATCTTTGCCATACTCCAGTCTTTATTATTTTTTTGTGATCTGCCTCGCCTCTACCCCCGCCACCCACAAGTTGTTGCCCCGCGGCCTGTTCCGAGGGCTGACAGACCTGACGATAGGGTGCCTCACGGCGGGGGCGGCTGGAGACCTCGCGTCCGGCGCCAACGGGTGAGCGCCCGCCACTCGGAACCATAAACCCAAGTCCCGGATTTCACCCGGGGGACATTCCGGAGGTATTGTGGCCGGGTGATGTGCCTCGTTGCTGGGGAGGTATGAGCCGAGAGTGGCGGGGTGTTATGGAGGCATATTTTATTTATTTGTATCCATCTAACCCTAACCATAACTTCCACTAGGAAGCCACGTCCCCACCCAAACCTAACCCTTAAGAGAGTCACGGTTACTCCCGCATTTTACACGCGGGCCTTTGTGGAGGTATTGTAGCCGCGTAATGTTCCTCGTTGCTCGGCCTGGATGAGCTTTCTCTGCTGTCTTTCTGCTGGAGACAGGCGGGGTGTTTTGGTGGTATCTCGGCCGACAACTCGGTGTTGTTCCCGTGCGTGTATGAGCGCATTTCTGCCGGAGACAGGCGGCGTGTTGTGGTAGTATTCTGACCGCGTAATAGGGAGGAGAGGCGGTGGTGGAGAGGGAAAAAAATGTTAGTGTTAAAATATTGATTAGAAATGTATTTGTAATAAGACAATGTAATAAGTCAAACACAAACGTAATCAGGGAGAAAATACGTTTTTGGTCAAACGTAATTGAGAATGCATTTTAGTTTTGGGGGAACGTAATTTTTAGGAGACAGGGTTGCTATGCAGTCGGTGCAGTGAGGTTCTGGCTAACAGCTGTCTGCAGCCCTCTTATTTACGTCGCAACCTGAACACCAAGCATGCCAGTGCAAGTCTAAAGCCCCTTACATTTTTATATCGAAATTGGAGGAGTTACAAAACAGCCCAAAATAACTGCAGTCTCATTCATGTTGGGTCTACAAAAAACGCACTACGGGCTTCATATCTGGTCACAGAATAGCAAGAAAGGGGCTACCTCACACAATCGCCGAAGACGTGTGCTTGCCAGCTGCCAAAGAGATGGTGGAATGTATGACTGGAGAGAGAGAAGCAAACAAGTTGGACATGATCCCGGTGTCCAACAACACTGTCGCCCCGCATCGATGCTTTGTCCGAAGACATCCTGGCTACATTAGTCGTTCGCGTGAAGAGTGAGTTTTACTCTCTGCAAGTAGACGAGCCTACAGATGTGGCTAATCTGGCCAATCTTCTGGTGTACGTCCGTTACCTTTTCGAAGGCACGGTGCAGGAAGTTTCTTTGTCTTTTTTGTGTTTTTTATCTTGTAAACAAACGCCACGCGCGAGCAAACTGTTCTCTCATTGGTCCGATTTTTATGCGGTTATAAATAGGCTCTGTTGCTTTTTTTTTTAAGGTGTGGGGGATTCGGGGTGCGTGAACCCGGTCGGGATGTAGAAGGGGGTGCGTGGCCTAAAAAGTTTGGGAACCGCTGTTCTAATGTGACACATAGTGGAAAGTCCATCAAGCAGCCAGGGCTGGGAAGCGGCATGACCCCACACATCCAAAAACACAACAGTGGACACCTTGAGACGTACTGAAACACACGGTTAAACCTCTTGTGTGTAGACACTTTGTGGCACTTCAACTAACAGTTACAGCTCAAATAAGCCATTAGGTTTGGATGATCTCTACTGCTTTCAGTGCTTGATCATCAGTTCAATGTTCGACTTATTTCAGGGTGCAAACTGATCCTTTAACTTCTTTCAGCACTTCCATTTCAACTTCCTTCAGTAATTGTATTTAGACACTTCAACTTCAACTGCAGCATTTCAACTGTTTCAAACATCTGAAGTGCAAATGTTCTCTGACTATTAAACCTTGTCTAGTTCCATCTGCTTCCTTTCCATGTAATGAAGACACATCATGCTATAACTCACTCTATGTCCAGAAGTGTCAAATTGAATACAGGGAACTTTCTTTCTTTCTTCTTATTTCTCCATCAGGTGTTTTATTTTTTCTTAAAATGGATTGTTTTCTAGAGATAGCTTCACCATCAAAGTAATTAATAAAATAACAGCAATAAAACAAAACAATGAAATAAAAGAAGCCATAGGTCCTGACCCTTTTGCAGTTCTAACCTACAACAGTGCGTAAATAAAACCTGCATGCGGAGGCTGCAGGGAGAAGGAGATGGAGAGAGGAGAGTGTCTGTAGACAGACAGCCAAAGGGAAAGGGAGACGAGGAGAGTGTGTTTGCACTTATTGTGTGTATGCGTGCTGTGTGAGCCCCATGTGCGCACAAAGAGAGAGAGAGAGAGAGAGAGAGAGAGAGAGAGAGAGAGAGAGAGAGCGAGAGAGAGAGAGAGAGAGAGAGAGAGGGG